GGACTGGGGAAGCACGGCTCAGATTCCCGGAAATGCACCCCCCAAATGACAGTGCTCTGAGAGGGCCACCAGGAGTTCAGGGAGACCCTTTGTGGTCACTGTCCAGGTCACCGCCTGTGCCCCTCTCTGCTCAGGCACAAGGTGCGTCTGTGAGTTTGCAAACGCAGGAGGCTGGCTCTCACTGCCCCGCACAGGCCTCCTCCGCCCCCGGAGCATCGTCAGCCAACTTACTTCCATTGATCAGTTTGTGAGCGCAGTGGGAAACGTGGAAATGCAAAACCCCTGGAAGATATAAATAAAGGGCACACATGTCCCAGCCCTTCCTTGTCCTTGTTCTGTCCAGACTTCTTGATGCTTCAGAACCTCCGAGCGCCCTGGGTTCCCAGGGAAGTCCTCGGGCCAGCAGGAGCAGGCTGGCGTGGGCGGGACACTGAGCGGACACAGTTGGAAAGAGATAAACTTCTGCTCTTGGCCGAGAAACCCCACCTTCCCGCCCACAGAGGTGGGGGCAGGAGGCTGGCTGCTGGGCCGCCCCTGGTGAGCAGAACCAGGAGGAAGGCCTGGGGTTCATTGATCCTCACTGTCCGGAGACCCTGTGATCTAGGAACAATCCAGATCAGGAATGGGGTGACCAAGCACCTCTAGGGGTCCTCCCCAGGAGGAGGGAGGGAGGCAAGAGGGGAGGAGGCAAGAGAGAGACAGGAAGGACGGAGAGGGAGAGAGAAGAAAGGACATTTTTAAATATGAGAGAGCATACAGGGAGACAGGGTGATGAAAAGCAGGGTGCCTGCCCTGGTGCCTCCACAGTGAGCCAGCCCGCAGCCCTGCGGAGGGCCCCGGTCCCGCACGGCGTGGCCTGCAGGGGCCCAGGGCACAGGCTGCAGGGAGGGCTGGGTGAAGGGCTGCGTTCACAGACAGGGCGCAGGTGGTTACTTTACAAGCGGGGTTTCTGAGACCCCCAACCACCATGCTGCTGTCCGCTGCTAAGTGTGTGTGTTGGTGCAGCGTGAATTCCCACGCCGACAACGCCCTGAGGGAAGGAACAAAGGGCCTTGGTCATGAGCTGCTCCAGGCAAAACCCTGGTCCTGAGAAGGAGTGGAGCTGCCTGCCGTGGGGGAGCCCTCTGGCTGGAACCCCGCGGAACCCCTTTTAAGACAGATGCTGTAACTCACACTTCGGAACACCCTGGTCTGGAGCATGGGGTGGGCAGGTTGGTGGCACCCTCCTGTGGTTTTCATTTTTATCTTCTCTGGGAAGATCAGGGACCTGCAGTTACAAAGGGCCCGGGAACCGCGCGGCTTCGTTCGAGGTCAGGCCGGCGGCTGATCTGAGGGGAGCGGCTCATCACGGAGGTCAGCACTGGCGGGGTCAGGCAGTTTTATGGCTCGCTGCCCTGCAGGGCTCCCAGGCATTCCGCGTGCTTCACTCTCCGTGAAGTGAAGTACTTCCGGGTCACAGACACGGGGGCTGCCTGACCAGCCACCCATTCGTCTGTCCATCCCCCTGAGCGCAGGCCCAGGGGGAGCCAGACTCCCGGCTCACCCCTCCCCGTGGCCAGCCCAGGCCTGTGCAGCCTCCCGTCCTGTCTCGGCCCGGCAGCCGGGTTCCCTCCCGTGGGACAGAGCCTGCAGGGTGGGGAGTGCCTTGCCTGGAGGCTGCTCGTAAATATCCCATCATATGACAGGACATACACTCCTGCTGGCGGGGAGATGGACCTGTGCAATTATGTCTCCCCCAAAACAAACTTGCCCTGGGTCCCTCCCCGGGGACCCCTCTCTAAGTGCGCTGTCTGGTGACCTGGCCGAAAGGGCTGCCGGCTGTCACGTGCCGAGCGTCAGCACGGGGCTTTGAAAGCAGATTGGGTTACAAGTGACTCGGAGCCCGAGAGCTCGGCAGCCCACGGGAGGCCCCAGCCGGGTCACCCGCAGTGCAGGCTGTGGCGAGGCCTGGCGTCTCCCCTTCCGGAACCCTCCCCACGCCAGTGTGCAGGGCGAGCACCGCTGTCGCCCCCTTTACAACGAACTTAGGAACAGAGAGAAAAGGAACTCACCCAAGGTCACACGGCTTGAGGTGGCAAAACAGAGCCCCGAAGGAGGTCTGAGTACTTTGCGTTCACACTCTGACCTGCTGTCCACAAGCTTTCCGCAGGCTCGGTGTCTGCTGGGGAAGCAGACAGGGCACGTGGCCTTCTGACCACAAAACACGATGAGGCACAAGCGAGGAGACAGAGCGACTTATCAGGGGAGGCACAGGCAGAAGGGGCTTTGCAAGCCGGGCCCTGAGGGTCTGTAGGGCAAAGGAAGGAGCCTCCAAGTGAGGGAGCAGCTCGAGCGCAGGCTGAGGGAAGAGACAGGCTTGCAGAGTGGGTCCTGGTGACTGGGCCACTGGCCTCCCTCCTGAAGGCCCACAGGATCACAGGTCCTTTGACACCAGAAGGTGGCTGGTGGGGAGGGGGGGAGGCTGGGCGAGGCTGGGTAGTGGGGAGGAACCTGGGCTTTGTGCATCCGGCTGAGATGCCGCTCACTGAAGTAGAAGGGAAGCTACGAGGGGTCCAGATGCCGTCTCAGGCAGCCCTCCCGCCTGCCCCGTGTCCGGACTAAGGTGGGGAAGAGCCACCAGGGCCTCTCTTCCACTGCCCCTGGACGGAGCAGCGGTCCGGGCTGCTGCGAGGCCAGAGCCCGGGGGGCAGCCTTCAGGAGAGCCTCCTCAGAGACAGATTCGGGGGCAGCTCTGCCACTCCGCGCCCCCTCCACATCCGGCTGGACATGGTCTCAGCCTTTCAAACGTAAAGTGCGTCTAATTTAGAGATTTGCTAATACAGAAAACATTACCAGAGATCACCTCCGTACGTCTAGTTTTGCAGTCTCCGCTGTTTTAATTACCTGGTCTAATTACTAGCTTTGTGATGTGGACGACTAGCTAACGGCTCTGCTTTGTACCCCAGCTGTCACGGGAACCCATCTCCCTCCCCAGCGGCTGGGGACTCACTAGCACACCATAGGGCAAAGCGCAGCCCACCCGGCTGCTGTGTGTGCGAACCGAGGACCTGGCGGGATTTTACTCCGAGGAAAATATAAGCCCCTCCCCCAGGATTCTCCCCCACGGACCCCAGGATCCCGGTTTGCTGCGGATTTTCCCTCTTCCTCTGGACCTCTTTTTTTGGAGGCGGCGGGGAGGGGGGAGTGGGCTCTCAGCCTCCAGCAAGTTGAGTCTCCCCTTTTTAATTTCTCCTCCGCTGATGCTGGCTCGGCCTCGGGGCGGGACAGAGCTTCAGTTCAACCCGCTTCAGTGTCTCAGTGTCGGGGTCTAGGCTCAGCTGGGAGGAGGTCACACTGGAACCCAGCAGGGCACCTGGCCTGCGAGTTTCCAGGACTCTGATCAGCACGGCCTCCCCACCCGCCTCCCCACCCTCACCCTGCTGGGGCCACAGCGAGAGGAGAGAAAGCCGGAGAGAAGCCGGAGCGGGTGGGCTGGAAGGGCCGAGGCCGGATCCCAGAATAGCCAGGAGTGGGGAGAGCGGGAACCACGGGCCCTCAGCATCTCGGAGGCAGAGGCCAGAGTGACTGGTGGGCGAAGCAGGACCCCGGGAGCCCTGAAGGGCCCGCTCCCTGGCCAAGGCCCGAGCCAAGGCCTGGGAAGAGCCCGGAGCCCGCGCGGAGCCCTCTGTGGAGTCCCCGGCCCAGGGTGAGTGGGGACCCACATTCCGGGGCACTCCACTCCGGGCGCCTAGATGTGCACCCGAATCTGTGTGCTGTCCCAGAGAAGGGAACCAGGCCACCCCACCCCTCCGCAGGCCCGCAGCGCCCCGCCGGGAGACTAGCACCCAGGAAGTGAGCGAAGGAAAACACTCTGGCCCCCCGCACCGTTGGTGAGCCGCTCCGCCAGCCAGGCGCTGCCCTCCGCCCCCCGGGCGCTGCCCTCCGCCGCGCTGCCCTCGGGCGCTCAGAGAGGGAGCGGGTCCTTCCATCAGCAGAGCTGAGCGGGAGGCCACTGGCCACGGCGCTGCACTGTCCTCCACCCGGGGAGTGCCGGGGCGCCGCCATGACCCCGCGCCCCCAGGAGATGAGCCACCTGGGGTGGGGGCGAGACGCAGGCGGCGGGGACCTGGGAGAAGGGCGGGTGCCTCCACGCCCCAGCCAAGGACGGCCCCCCGTGCCTGCCCGGTTGGAGTTGGGAACCGCTGGGGCTCCGCGGGTTGTGCACGCCGCGGCGTCCTCCCGGTTCACGGCCGGGGAGCGGAGGGGGCGGCCCCCGTAGCCGGGTCCCCGCGCCGCGTGCCGATCTGGGGCGCGATAACCGGCCCATCGCCCCGCGTCGGTGAGCGTGTCCCCGACAGACACGGCACTCCGAGCCCGGCGAGGAGGAGGGGTGCAGGTCCGCGAGTCCCAAGATCAGTCCCCGAGCCCGGCCCCGCGGCAGCCGAGAGCACCGCCGGCTCCTGCCGCAGCGCCGGCAGACCCCACGCCAGTGCCCCGCGCCGCGCGCCTCGGCGCCTCCCGCGGACCCGGCCCAGCCGCTCGGTCCCTGGCGCCGGGGCCGCAGCCCGGCCCGGACTCCGCGGGGGAGGGGGGCCCGGAGGGAAGGGGCGGCGCGGCGGGGGCGGAGCGAGGAGCGCGGGCGGCTAGAGCCCGGGATTCCCGGCGGAACCCTGCGCCCTGGCTCCCAGGCTCCAGTCCGCCCGTCACCGGCCGCCGCAGCCGCCGCGCCCCGGGCCGCACGGCGAGCCGGTGAGGCTGCTCCGCGGCCGGGCGCCCTCTCCCAGCGCGGGCCGGCGGCCAGGTCCGCACCCTTCGGCGGGACGTGCCGGCCCTCTCTCGGAGCCCGCCCCGGGTCCGAGAGCCCAGGCGGAGGAGGTGAGCTTGGCGCTCCGGCGCCAGTGGGCCAGGCTGGCCCCTGAGACGACCGTGGCCAGGACTCGGGACGCGCTGCCGCACCTGCGGGCTGGAGCGCGGGCCGCGGCGGAGGGAGGTGCAAAGCCACCGCGACGCCCTCACGCCTCCCTCTCCCCGCAGGTCCGGCCAGCTCCGGGAGGATGTTCCAGAGCCTGGCCTTGGCCCCCAGCTCCGGTCAGGCCCCCTACGCGGACCCCGGCGCCTTCCTGCACGCGCCGGGCGCCGGCTCCCCGGTGTTCGTGCCGCCGGCGCGCGTCCCCTCCATGCTGCCCTACCTGCCGGCGCGCGAGCCGGGCGCGCAGCCCTCCGCGCTGGCCGCACACCCCGGGTGGGCGCAGGCGGCCCCGGCGGCCCCGGTGGCCTTCGCCTCCGGCAGCCCGCGCACAACGGCCTCGCAGCCCGGGGCCGCCGCCTTCTCCTTCGCGCACGGCCCCCCGGCGCCGGGCTGCGGTGGCGCGGGCGGCAGGGACGGCGCCTACCCCGGCGCGCTGCAGGCCCGCGACCCGTACCCGGCCCCGCTCGGGCGACCCGTGGGCGCCGCGTACCCCGCCGCGTACCCGGCCTACGTGAGCCCCGAGGTGGCGCCGCCCTGGGCCTCCGGACCCTTCGAGGGCAGCGTCCTGCACAGCCTGCAGGGCCGCCCGGCCGGCCTTCCGGGCCGCAGAGCCGCCGTGGGTGAGTGCGGGGCTGGGGCAGCCCCTGGGGTCCGGAGTGCAACCCGCACCCTACGAAATGCAGAGCGTTCCCGGGACCCGGCCTGGGACCCGCCAGGCAGCCTCTGCGGCCTCCTCGCCGCGGAGCGGCTGAGCTTTCACACCGCGGGAGAAGGCTCTGCCTTCCGCACAGCAGCGGCGATCGGAGGTGCCCGCTGAGCCGCCGCTGAGCGTCTCTGAGAGGCTTTGGCGGTGGTTTTATAAGGTTCCGAACGCCCGCTTATTTGGGCTGTGACTCGTTCCTCCCAGTGAGGATCTGGTTCTTCCCGGCCGGACGGGTTACCGGCTTCCAGGCCCGCACCCGAGACCCTCCGCCGTGTGGGGTCAGGGCGGGACACCTCTCACCCCGGGCCGCCCGAACGAAACCCAGGCGCCGGTGTGCCGACCCCTCAGCCCAAACCTCCCGCCGCCAGCCTCAGCCCAGACCGGCCCTCGGCGCCGCCGCCTCCTGGGCGCAGGAAGCGGTCCCCAGCGCCCACCGCCCAGCGCGGATCGGTCCCTGCCCCGCCCCGCCCGCGGACCCGGAGGCCTGTGCCGAGTTCCGCGGCCCCGGAGGCCCTGTAGGCTGCGCCGATTGGCCTCCCCAAGTTGCCACCACGGCTAAGCTGGCAGGCCCTGCTCCTTGTAGGACCGGAGAGCTGGCCCCTGGGCTGCCGCTTTGAGCAGGACAGGCCCCCCCAGGCCCCTCTGCCTCCTCAGGGGTGGAAACCACAGGCCCTGGAGCTGGACCCGGCTGGGGGCTGGGGGCAGCTCCCTGTTTTCCTCCCGGACGTTTAATTATGAAGCCTTCCCCAGCTTATAAAACCAACCCTAAGGAGTGTTTTAAATCCACACCAACGTTTCTGCATATGGATTTAAAACTAGATAAAGTATATTTATAATAAAACAAACTTAAGGCACAATTTTTAAAAGTTTGGGAAAGTGCTGCAGACGCCCAGAGTGCCGGGGAGGGACGGCCGGGCCCATGAGCTGCCTGTGCCCGCAGTGCCTGACTTCGTGGAGGAGTTCCCTGGCGAGGGTCGCGAGTGTGTCAACTGCGGGGCCCTGTCCACTCCGCTCTGGCGCCGGGACGGCACCGGGCACTACCTGTGCAACGCCTGCGGCCTCTACCACAAGATGAACGGAGTCAACCGGCCGCTGGTGCGGCCCCAGAAGCGCCTGGTGAGTGTGGGCCCAGCCAGGCAGCCGGGAGTCCAGCCCCGGTGCTGCGTTCTGGGGATGCCCCGAGGGTGACGCCCTCCCCGCTGCTATGGCGGGAAGGGATTTGGTGGGGTCTGCTGTCTCCCGCCCTGGGTAGGGACGGCCTGCTGGGGCTCAGCCCTGTGGCTTTGAGGGCGACTGGGGTGCCAAGCTTCTTGTCTGACCAGGTGGTGGGGGCCCAAGGGGACCTGCGTGGGTTGCAGGGGAAGCTGGGTGCTGTGTGTGGGTGCTGCGTTGGGGGACACAGCAGCGGCGTTGGGTCGCGGTCCCTTTGGGGAGCAGTTTCTCCCCCATCCTGAGAGAGGGACCAGAGCAGGGCTTCGGCTGTTGGTTGTTCGGTTCTCTGGACAAATCTTGTTTTCACTTTTGGTTCCTTCTGCCGGGGCCTGGTGGGAGCTGGGGGCTGGGAGCCGGACTTTTGCCCCAGGCAAGGCAGGCTCCAGAAGCCGAGCAAAGGGGTAGTTACTGTGCGCTGTACAGCTCACAGGCAAATGCTGGTGTTCGCGTGACTGTAAGTGGAAGGGACTGCGTGTGTTTCGAGCTCTCGGTAGCACTGCCAGCGGCTCCTGACGAGGTCTGGAGGGGTCCAGCCTTCTGGTCTAACGCTGATATGAGTCCTGTCAGGGTCAGTCATCCGGTTCTGGCCAGTTCTGGCCGGTTCTGGTGCAGGCCCTGGCAGGGGTGGAGGGGGCTGGTCCCTGGCCGACACTGTGGGGTGGCCCAGCCAGCCGGCACAGTTGCCATTCGGGGCTAGGAGGGCGGGGGGTTTCAGCCGCAGGCCTTTACTGGAAACCGAAGCGGCTACAGGAGCATCAGGCCATCCTCCGCCCGAGCCCCAGACTGGCAGGTGGGAAGCAGCAGGGAAGCCGCTGTTTGCACCCTCTGTTCTGGCCTGGAGTTGGGGCTCTGTGAGTCCCCCAACCTTCCTCCACTCACACTGTGCCTCTCAGAGAGATGGGGCTCCTTAGAGTCCCCATCACCCCACAGTCTCGTCTCTGCCCCTGCATTCATTACCCCCACCGCCTGGTGTGCTGTACCGCCTGTCTCTGGTGTCCCTCACTGAGGGGAGCAGGCTGAGAAGGGAAAGTACCGGGGGGACCCTATCCAGGACCTCCTGACCCCAAGCAGCAGCCAACCCTCCTCTCTCTTTGCCAGGCCCCGGACTAGGTGCCAAGGACACACTGGTCATCGGGACAAGATGATGCCCTCACCCTTTAGAGGGCTCACGTCCCAGCAGGAAACCCCTGACTTTGGGGTGGGCAGGCACGGCTGCCAGCTAAGCGTTGAGATGGTTATCCACACAACAGCCAGAGCCCTGCACACGCAGCCTGTCCAGTCTGGGGCTCGGGCGGAGGCTGTGGCAGACCCTGAGTACAGTCCAGGACTGCCCACAGGGTCCCCGTGTCCCCCTCACGCTGAGCCCCCGCCCCCGTCCTGGGGCTCCTGGCCCAGGCCCCTGGCGATGAGTTCAGGAACCGTCCCCACGCCGTTGGTAAAGGCCAGCCCGGACAGCTCGGCCGAGCGCTTCGGCCTCGGCTGGCTCTGTGAGCCGGCTGCCTGGCACCCGGCCCGGTGAGGCCTGCTCGCTGGTCTGGGGACCCAGGGCACTTAGGATGCCGCTAGGGGCAGAGCCCTGGAGTCCGCTCACCTCCCGAAGGCCTGGGCCCCGGAGGGTGCGCAGCCTGGCGGCCATGTCCAGGCCCAGCAGATCTGAGTGTGGAGCACACCCAGGAATGTTTCTCAAGCGGGGCAGGGGCAGCGGGCTTACCGTCCCTCCCCAGGCAGCACCTTAGCGGTTCACTGGCTCACTTTGGGATTCCTGCCTGGCGTTCACGGAGGGCGGCCCCGATGCTTGCCCTGTGGCCGGTCCCGGCAGGGCCAGGCCAGTGTGGAAACCGAGACTCTCAGAGAGTCCTGGGCCCTGAGCTTGAGCCACATGGCTCCCGCCATGCTGGGGCTGGACCCATGGCCCCAGCTTCCCCCGCTCCAGGGTCTCACTGTCCCCGAGTGTGGCCAGACCTGAAGTCCCAGGAGGGGCTCCCCAGGAAAAACTTGTCCTGCCCTTCTTTTAAGTGACTGCAAACACCCTAGAAGCTTGTCGCCAAGAACACAGGATGTGGCAGTAACACCAGACTCCCTGCAGACTGCCTCCCAGGTGCCTCCGCAGTCACTGGCAGGCGGGAGCACCTTTGGCCTGAGGTCTCCATCAGTGTAAACAGGGCGGATAGTTGCGTGGTTCTCCGGCCCTGCGGGCTCCGCGGCTGCCTGCTGCCGGGCCAGGCTCTCTGCAGCCCCAGGTGCCCCTCCTGGGCATTGGAGCCGGGGCCAGGGCCAGGGCCTGTGGCAGCCCGGTGCCTGCTCCGGTTCGCGGCCGGCGCCGTGGGCCCGGCGTCCTCCGCTGAGGAAATGGGCCCTTGCCTGGGGCTCTGACTGCTCATGGCCGGTGTACAGCCGGCCTCGCAGGCTCTGGTCCCCAAGAAGCCTGCCCTGAGCAACAGGGACACGAGCTTATCAGGCTAATGTCCCCCACGTATGTCTCCCCCTCCGAGATGGGAGCCTTTTGGGGGGCTGCTGCACGCACCTGTGACCTGAGGCTGATTTCCCCCAGAGTGCCCTCCTCGTGGGGAGTGCTGCCCGCTGACTGCCATGGCTGCCCCGCCTTTAGGCCTCACTTCACCCGGAAACAACGGGCCAATCAGAAAGCAGCGCCGGGGAGGCAGCGTGGGCAACCAGGCCTGGGGGTGGCCGCAGCTGGGCCCCGGGAGGCAGGTGGTGGAGGCTCAGTCCCCCCTGTGTCCTGCCCAGGGAGGTGGTTCTGCCCACCTGAGGGCACATGGCCCCTCAGGGCCTCTCAGCCTCAGTTTCCCCTCTGTGAACTGAGTCTAGTGAGAGGACAAGATCAATGAGCAAATACTTTGGATTTTTTTCATGTTTTCCCCCCCCTATTTTCTTAATTTTAATTTAATCTCCAATTTCTCAACTTGGATGTGTGCTCACTGTAGGGATTTCAGATGCAGCTTCCCGGTGTCCCCTCCCACTCCCAGAGAGGGAGGCTGGGTCGCACGCTTTGGGGGGCTGGTCCTTGTGTATGTGCCCTGCACGCAGGCACCTTCTGTGTGCACAGCTCCCCGCACCCGCGGGGCAGGCAGGGGGAAGCCCTGGTGCCCAGTAAAAGCAGCTGCTCCCTGGGCGCGAGCAGCTGTGGCCTCTGCCGGAGGAGAGGCAGTTCACAGGGTCTGCGCCTTGTCTGCTGACCACAGCCTGGGGGAAGTCAACAAGGCTGCTCCCGCAGTCATTGCGGAAGGAAGGATTCTAGAGACTGCTGACAGGTGGGGAAACTGAGGCTGGCCCTGTCTGCTGACCCCTACCCCACCAGGCCAGATTCCTCTGTGGCTTGGTTCGGCAGGCTCTTGGTTGCCCTCGGGCTGGGTCCTGGACTGGACAACACCCAGGAGGGGGCATGCCTCCTATATGGGGTCCTCGTGGGCTTCCGTAGCCATGTGGCCTAAGCTGGCCTGGCCGCACGGGGCCCAGGCCGGGCAGTGCAAGCGGAGGAGAGGAGGGACAAGTTCGGGGGCATCTGAGGCAGTGGCTGGTGAGGAGAGAGCAGCTCCCCAGGACAAGTCTGCGGGCAGGTAGCTGGGGAGGGGTGGTGCTGGGATGCGGGGAAGGGCTTCAGGTTCGAGGTACCTTTGGGGGCCCTGGGCCTGAAACAGAGCATCTGGAGCTCCCGGGCAAGACTCCATCCAAACCAAAATGTAAGTCAGGCAGTCTGTGCTGAGAGAGGTGACTGGTGGGAGGGCCCCTCAGATCTCTCTGCCCCCATTAGGTCCCATTCCTGAGGCTCAAACAGCCTGCTCGCTCAGGATCCCTGGAGTTAGTGCTGTCTGGGCCCCGTCAGGCACCTAAGCATAGGGAGGGTTGGGGTCCCCTGTCGGATATGGACCTGCAGGCTTGGGGGTCAGCTCTGCTGGGACACGTGAGGACACGTGCCTTTGGAAGGTTCCGGATGGGCCCAGTCTTGCTCTGAATGAGGCACACTGACACCGGTTCCTTGGCCCGCTGTCCAGTGGAGAGTTGCTGACTTCCATCCATGCTGAGTCCCAGGTGCTGGGAGGCAGGTGCCCAGGGGACCAGCCTGGGCCTGGAGGTGCCACTCCACCGTAGAAGTGCGGGGTCTTCATGAGCTCCTAGCCCCACAGCATCCTGCGGTGGATCTGGTATCACACCCGTTCCACTGATGGGGAAACTGAGGCCCAAAGTGAAGGGGCCTGTGCCAGGCTCATGGGGCATGGAGTCCAGGACACCTCACAACACCTCGGCGGCCCCACGTGGGCCAGGCCTGGCTGCCGGTCAGTCCGAGTCCACTGCCATCCCCTCCCGCTGAGCCTCGCCCAGCAGCCAGAGCCGTGGCCCCGCCCCGGGTCTCACCGGCCTCCCCCTCCGCAGTCCTCCACCCGCCGGGCCGGCCTCTGCTGCACCAACTGCCACACGACCACCACCACCCTGTGGCGGCGCAGCGCGGAGGGCGAGCCCGTGTGCAACGCCTGCGGGCTCTACACCAAGCTGCACGGGGTGAGTGGGCAGGGGTGGGAGGCTGAGGGCTGCTGAGCCTGAGCGGGACAGGGATCCCCAGTGGGATCACTTGACCAGCCTTCCTGGCACTTAGGGACCAGGGGCTGGGGAGGGACGAGGTGGGGGTGGGGCTGGGGCTGGCGGTGCACACATGGAGCCCATTGTGCAGACGGTGGTGCTCTCACCGCCATCAGCCAGGGGCAGGAGCTGGACACTTAGCTGGCCTCTGCACCCCAGGGTCCCCCTGGCCCTGCTGGCTCCGGGAGGCTGGGTGGGCAGGCAGCTCGCCCAGTGGGCTGAGGACGCGTTAGCTCCTGCCTGGGCAGGGCTGAGACTACGGCGGGGCCCAGGCCTGAGCAGGGAGAGGGACCCGCCGCCCACCTGCATGTCTCTGCCAGGTGCCCCGGCCGCTGGCGATGAAGAAGGAAAGCATCCAGACTCGGAAGCGGAAGCCTAAGAATGTTGCCAAGACCAAGGACTCCTCAGGTGCCGGGCCAGGGCCCGCCGGGTACCGGGTGGGAGCCTGGACCACCAGCCACTAGTCGCTCCCAGCCCCTCCGATGGGGCCTGTGGTCCCTGCGGAGCTGCCTGGAGTAGCTCACCGTCCCACATAGGGACTGACATGTCTGGAGCAGACATTGTCCCCACCCGTCCCGGGTGGCTCCAGCTGCGGGAGGGACGGGCTAGGTGGCAGCTTCTATAAACGGCCACCTTTCCTCCCAGGGTGCCCAGGGAACGCCACTGCCTCCCGGCCATCCTCCCTCCCCATCCCTGAGAGCTCAGCGGCCACTTTGACACCCAAGCCCAGCCTGGCATCCCCTACTTGCTCTGGGCCCTGTGTCGCCACCCAGGTAAGGCATATGGGTGGGGTGGGTGCCCAGAGCTGGCTCCCGGCACCTCCTCAGGGAAGCCTGACTCCTGGCCAGGCCAGGGCCCCTGCAGGCCTCTCCTGGGAGCTCAGGGCTGGCCGCACAGCTGGCCGTTGGTACGGAGGGTCGACCTGAGTTAGATGCGGGCTGAGAGCCCCGCGTGGGTCGTCATGTCGACACTCAGGAGAGGTCCCCCTCTCCATTCAGGAGGCTTCCTGACCCCGCAACCCCACCTGACAGCCTGGGTTCCTGAATTCACACCCCCTGTCCTCCCTGCAGGCCTCCAGCCAGGTGGACGGCCCCCTGGCCTCCAGTCACTTGGAGTTCAAATTCGAGCCTGAGGACTTCCCCCTCCCCTCCATGGCCCTGGGCTCCCAGGCCGGCCTGGGAGGGGCCCTGCACCAGGAGGCCTGGTGTGCACTGGCCTTGGCCTAGATTCCCAGTCACCCACCAGACCCACCTCGTGACCTGCGTTGCTCCAGCACAAGGGACAGCCCACCGGCCACCCGCCAGGCCACCCGCAGGAGAGACAGCAGCCAGCAGGACCTCGAGGGGCTGGGCAGGTGGCGGAGAAGCCTGGGCAGATGGCAGTCAGGCCCCGGAGTGGAGAGAAGGCCTTGGGGACAGAGGCTCGTGCCCCCCACAATAAGGGACCCCCAAGCTGCACGAGGCTCCACACCACTCTGACCAGGGGTGTCTACCGCCAACCTGAATTCTGTTGTCAACACTCGCCACCTCCATGTTCACAGGTGATAGCTGTTGGGAAAAACTCAACCTTTTGTTGTGAAACCAGGATCACAGATGGAACGGCCAAGGCCAGGAAGTCGCCCCTCCTCCGAGCGGAGGACTGCCAGGGGCAGGTGTGCAGCCCGTGCACGTGCCACCTTCCTTCCCCCTCCCCACACCGGGGAAGCCCTGCCCCTCCCAGTCCAGCAAAGACCTTGTTCTGCGTGAACCTGTGTGTGAGCATCTCTGACGGGCAGAGTGCAGGACCTGAGCCCGTTCCCACCCATGGGCTGCTGGTGGGAGGAGCGCCATCCGGGCTGGCCTGCCGTCCCCTGGCCATATCACTCCCTTTCTCCTGCAAAGCCCTTCGCAGGCGGGGGGTGAAGTTGGTCCTGCCAGCTGGACACAGCTCTGCCCACAGCTGATGGGGCACGCCCTGCCGAGGACCCCGGCACTTGTGCCCAGAAGCTACTTGAACCAACAAGGCCTCTGAGTTTTTCAGGGAAGCCAGAACTGGAATTTTAAAACAATGTAAAGTCTTCTGATTGAAAGCTTCTTTCCCCAACTCCCAACTTGACTCAACAGCTTTTAAACAGGGAGCCGACTGAGAGTTGCAAGCCAGCCTCTGCGGCCACCCTGGCACCAGCTTCCAGAGCGTCCGCTCACTTGTAGCTGCCCTTGGAGGTCAACCCACTTTCTTTTCTTTTTTTAAAGACAAGTGAGGCCATAAGAAATCTTACCTAATACTAGAGAAATGTGTAAATTGATCATACTTCCACTATGCCCACAGCCAATCAGATTGAGTATGCAAATTAATCCAACAAAGATGCCAGTTAATTAGCATACATACCTGGGTCCCGGAAACCTCCTCAGCACTCAGGTCACTCCAAGCTGGCCATCGGACAGAGGCTTTAGGCTTGGGAAGGGGCCGAGCCTGTGATCGGAGGGAAGGGGGGAAAAATCAATGGAAACATATCCTCAGGTGAGGAGAAAAAGAAAAAGAAAGAAATACCATATCCTATGAAAGACAGGTATTGAAAATGCTTGAAGAAAGTTGTCATTTTTTCATGGTGAAGGGACTGCAGTCCGTGTTGATGAAAACACCTTGGTGGCCGCAGTGACTGGCAGTGGCTGCAGCAGTGGGGTGATGGGGCTGGCCTTCCCCTATTCAGCCGGGTCGCCTCCCATAAAGGGAGGCCAGACTGCGGCTTAGGTCTGCTGCCATTGGGCAAGTGGGCCTAAGCCATCAGTAGGACATCCCCTGAGGGCTCCCAGTATGTGAGAGGGGGCAGGCTGGGCTGAGGGACCCCTTCCCAGTGCACGGATTTTGTTCACCAGGCCCCTGGTATATAAAATAAAGACCTTGATTTTGCCTTCCTGTCTCTGTCACCTGTGGAATTTCCCAGCCTCACACCAACAAGTCCAACATTCAGACCATCCCTTTCAGAATACATCCCAGGGGGCAGCCTGGTGGACATCACTGGCCACCTTGAGTCTCGCAAGGGCCCTGGGGGGCGCCTGCAGCATGGATGATGCTCATAAACAGAATGCTTCGGGGCTGCCGGGCATTCCTCTCACACAGCTGTGCAGGGCCTGGGCCACAGCGCAGCCCCCGCTGCAGTGCCCGTAGGGCAGCGGTCGCCAAGCGCTGGTCTGCAGACCCCTGGTGGTCCGAGAGGTCCAAAAGGTTGGCGACCACTGGCATAGGGAACTGCACGGCCAGTGCCCGGCTGCAGAAGAGGCCCCTCGTGGCAGGTCAGTGTGGCAGCTCACAGGCAGCACTTCCCACAAGCAGACTGATGGGAGAGGTGGCAGCAAGCAGTGCCTTAGAGCTGTGCCCAGGTGCCCCTGCCTGGAGGCCAGAGGTGAGATCGCTGCTAGAGAGAGCTGGCTGCCTTCTCGTCTCCATGTCCACAGTTGTCTGAGACTGTTCCCGGTGAGGAAACTGAGGCATCGAAAAAGGGGCTCCCATTTCCTCATCCAGCCTCCCCTCCCCCTCAAAGGGAAGCTCTGCCCTGTCCGGCCCATCCCTTGCCTTCCCCCTTCAATGGGTGGGCACTTGATGGGAGGAACTGAGGCACCAGGAGCGCGAGGATGAGGCCAGCAGCAAGGCCCACGTGAGGGCCCAGATGTGGGGGGATTGCAGAGCGCCCTCACGGCCCAGTGCTGCCACCAGGAGCCGGTGGCTTCCGTCGGAACCTGTTCTCCATCTGCAGGCAGGGAGGTGCCCTGGTCTGTAAGCCACGCACCGCACGGGCCTGGGCCTGGCCCTGGAGTCCCCAGGATTGGAGGCAGCACTCACACTGGCCAACCAGAGGCTTCCTGGAGGGGGCAGTGGGGCGGGGTCTCCACAGACGCAGGGGTGGGTTGGGGGGGGGGGAGGAAGAAGCCGTCTCTCCCACCTCTTTCTGTCATTTTTAGGACGTGCGGGGGGGGGGGGGGGGGGCTGGGCCCACCTCTGGGTGTGGCGTTGCTGCTAAATTTAGGCCTTTCTCCCTGAGTGCCTCCGGGGGCAGAGCCTTAATATAGCTGCTGGGCACCCCCTTCCTGCAGCCCTTCTTCCGCTACAGCCCCCGAGGCTCTGCCCATGGGGCACAACAACCGGAACTGGCTGGCAGGCTGCAGCCTGGCCACTTATCACGGTGACAGGATGGAAAGGCCACCTCATGGGCACTGCTGCCTGCACCCACCTCACCTCCAGCCTCTCTGCCAGGGTGCCCGAGGAGGGGCGCCTGGCCCGGCCCATCTGCATCCTAGAGTCCACCGAGGGTCCCCCCCCCCCGGGCCCGCCCTGGTGCCTGGGGCAGGGGAGGCCCTGCAGTGAGCACAGGGCATAGGAAGGGGTACACCAGGCCCTCATCAGAGTCTTAAATCAGAACCATGTTGAGGTGCCCTTTTCCCATCCTCCAGCCCTGGGTGGCTGCACTCCAGCTGCAGGGCAGCCGCCATATATGTCCCAGGGACACTCCTGCAGGCTCGGTCCTTGAGGCAGAAGCATCCTCTCCCCGCTCCCCCCCCCTGTCCTCCCTACCCTCCCCACTTCACACACACACACACACACACACACACACACACACACGCACGTGCTCGTCCTTGATGATGGGTCGGGGGTGATGCTCACCCTGTTTCCGCCCGCCTTGCTGCGGGTCAGCAGTATGCTGGCTGCACGCAGGGTGCACATTTGCCCCTGGGCCCTCAGAGGAGCACCTGATGAGGGGCCCCTCCGGCCAGCAGTGCCCAGGCCCCAGCGCCTCTGTGGGCCGGGACTAGGGCACAGGCGCTCGCTCGAGGCAGAAGGGGCTGGAAGCCCCGGGCGCTCAGGGCCAGGCGGGAGTGACGAAGGAGCCCCGTCCTGGGGACACGCTGGCACTGGATGGGAGACCAGTGCCTCAGGGCAGGAGTGGTGTCCTCCCGCTCCCTCACGGCTCTTTCCTTTGCTGCAAGCCCAGGGGAGTGTGTGGCCCTCAGGGGCTGCGGTGTGGCCTGTGGAGCCCAAAGAGGCTGATGGGGCTCCCCTGGGTGCCTGCCCCCACATGGACCCTTTCTGGCAGATGAGACCAGAGGGGTGGGGCTGGGCCCCATAGTTGGGAGGCTGTGGTGCCTGTCTGTCACCCACGCCCAGCCGGCAGAGCCCGGCGGGCCCAGCGGAGCCTGGGTGGGGGTGGCTAGCCCTCAACGGCCACGCGGAGCCCGCAGGCAGCCCCCCTGCAATGCCCTGCGAGGCCCGCCAAGATGTTGACATGGACGGCTCCAGCCGACTTATTTATTATCTGATAAAGGGCTCTCGGCACCGCTGGTGGACAGTGTCTGGCTGCACTGGGCCTGGGGGAGGGAGAGGGCGGTGGGGGACGGAGCCAGACCAGGCCTCTGCATTGGACTCCGGGCAGGACGCACAGAGGAATCGGCTCTGCCTCCCACCACAGCCTTTCTTCTCACCGCCCGCCTCCAGCGGCCGGAGACGCCCCTCCGCCAGGAGCGGTCCCTGGGGCCTCCAGCCTGGTGTCACACCCGACCTGTGCCTCCAAGCTAGGCCCTGCTCTCACCGTCCCAGGAGACCCCTGGCTGGGCCTCCTCCACCCCTCCCACCCCCTTGGCCCGGAGCTCGGACTTTCCATGATGCAAATCTGGGCGCCTCTCTGCTTCCAAATGCTCGAGCCCAGGTGCCGCCCGGCAAGTGCTTGGCCGGCTCCAGCCATGGTGGCCCCATGGCCTCAAGGCCCCCTCACAGCACCTGCGTCCACGCTCTGGTGCTGGGGCCACTGTCCGCCTCCACGCACGGCGGGCTCTGGGCTCTGCATGTGACCCTCCCGCCTGTGCTGACTGACCGCGTGTGACTCCGGCTGAGCCCCCACGCGCCTCTCCCACACGCCTGCCAGGCCGAGCGAGGCGGCTCCGGGCCCCCTCCTGGGCCGCCCTTGCACATGGAAACAGCCTAGGTGCCCTAGAAGAGCAGGGGATGTGTCCCAAGAGCCTTTCAAGACCGCGTGGCAAGAGCCTCGAACAATGCCAGCTTCCCCCTGCACCTCCGAGTCAGCTGCACAGCCTCTCGGCGGCGAGGGCGGCCTCTGGGACGGGCAGGTGGGGTCCAGGCAGGCGACCTGGCCACAACCCGAATAGGCCCCTTCCCATGGAGGCTCAGCAGAGGCGGACACTCGGGTCCCTCTGCTTGGCCGCTGAGGAGCCTGGGAGGCGGCAGCCCCCGCGTGGAGCAGTGGCACTTCCTGGCTGGTCGCTTCCCGTCTGTGGCCACCTCTTCAGACAGGCCCTGCTTGTCCACCCGGTCCAAGCGGACCCTCCCCCGTCCCTCCTGCACCCCGGCCTTCCTGGCCTTGTCCACCTGGGACCGCAGAATAATGCTCCCACGCTCGCTCCGTCTCGCCACAGCTGCGTCCCTGTGAGAGCCAGTACTGGCCAGCGGGCGGGAAACACACGCATGAGCAAGGAGCCTGTGCCCGCTGCCGGGTGCTGACCAGCCCCTCCGAGGGCCAGCCAGCCCCCAACCCTGTCCGTTTGCCATGGTGTGGGGACAACACGGGTGGAGTGAGGTCCCCCAGGAGGGTTTGTGGGGGGATTCATGGGAGAGGGAGGAAGAGGAGACCCGTCCGGGCCCTTGGCAGCGGCACCCTGCCCAGCTGCTCCTGCAGGAACGGAGCGTGCAGGCAGCCCTGAGGCTGTCCTGCCCCGGCCCGGACGGAGGTGGGCTCTCACCTCCACGCAGTGCTGCCCTGTGCATGCGGTCAGAAGGGGCACCCTTCAGTGGGCCCTGGGAAGGGATATTCATTTCTTGCTCCCTCGTCCCTGATCACCCCTCTCCCCCTCTGCGCAGGCCGCAGGCCCCGGCCCCAGCCCCTGAGGCTCCAGGCCTGAGGCCAGTGGGACAGGGTAGCTGGGGCCTGTTCGGGTTCAGGGTGTGGCAGGGCTGGATGTTCCCACACCTGGACAATGGCCTTTGGGACTGGGGAAGGACAGAGGCCCCTGGAGGGGCTTCAGAGCAGGGCACACTCCGGTGGCCACAGGCGGGC